TGATCACTTCTATGATCAAACACAATGTTTTTAGATAAATAGCTTTAGTCTCCACTGCGTCCTTCCTATTTCTATCTGTAATACCATGTCCATCACTTCCTACGTCCTAGTCTCTTGTGTGAAGATAGACTTCTAACTTTTGTCCTATCGTCGTCTGTAACAGTTGATGCCTTCAATACAGAGCCCTCAAATTTGCCCAGGTTGGCTTGCTCTTGCGCTGTTTTATTATCCCATAGCTAAGCAATTTCTTGTTATGCCTCTTATTTATCAGATCATGAACCCTCTATGACTTCTGGTTTGTCATGATCTGGAGTTTTTGAGAATCATCCAAAGTGAGAACCCCACCTAGATCCTTTCTTAATCTAGACTTAAGATTTATGAACTTAAATAGCTTACGCCTCTCAGTCTCGTAACTTTTCTCTAATTTCTGGATGGAGGCGTAATAAAGTATTTTATTAACTGTGGCCGAATGATACTTCTTCATTAAATTGCAGAATCTGGGAGTGATACCATAATGTTAGCAACAATTCAAAACGGCCAAATAGCAGGATTGACTTACCATTGTCTTCTTTGTTCGGCTGTAATTAGTGCATTGTTTGACAATCTATGATACCAAGTCCATGATTTACTATACCCTAGTCTCTTGTTTGCCAACCCAAAAACGTTGTGGTTCAACATTGAACCTAGCCAAAGCAAGCAGTACCACAACATTTGTGGGTTGGCACACAAAAGACTAGGGCATAAGAAGTCATATACTTCGTATTAGAGATAGAAACAGGATAGACGCAGCGGCAATGGGAGCTAGTGGGCTGACTGTAGGTTTTACAAGAGACGTGGTCCATGTAGCAAGGGCCTGACCATGAGACTTACTCAGAGGCTTTTGCCTCGAATTAGTCACCCTTACGCAGGGTAGGGCCAATAACGCCCCGGATGGCACAGATGGGGTGGCAGGGCAAGAGAGAGACTTTGGTAAGACCTAAGGAAGGAGGACTGCGTAACAATATGGCAAGCTCTGATAAACATTCCTAGCACAAGGATGAAGGGTGGTGTGAAGGCCAGCATGGAGTGCGGAGGGTTCTCCTAAAAGTCGCTATCAAAAAAAGGGCACATTGAACCTCATTTAATTAAGCAAGTAAAATATTGTGACAGTAAAGGCGTGATTGGAGGATTTAGGAAATGTGAATAGGCCAGAGCAGAATGGGAGATACTATAACTGTTTAGCACAAGTTTGGTCAAAGGATCAGTTTCACTTGTCTCTTTGATGAGTTGTAATATGGTGCTACGAATGGTAAAACTGACTAACGATGCCGACTACGATGCCGGCGAAACGTCTGGGAATATACTGCGTCCACGGTTTGACTTTGGAAATAATTATGCATACAATGGACTCAGGAAAAGGTGCGTTCCTATTAGTCTTCCTACCAATATGTCCAAGTTGCGAAAACAAGGTCAAACAACTTCTATACAACGGAAGGAGACTGCGCCCTCAAAAAAGGCCACACCATCTTGGTCTTTAAACTTTCAAGAATTAATCAGGTTGGCAGAGTGGTGCTAGAGGACCTATTCGCACAAGTCTACTACTACTGCTCCAATGCAACTTTCTCACAGCCTTCGGTGGAACCAACTTATGAATATCTTCTACTCGCCTCTTTAAACGAAATGTAATGTACTTTAACATCCCATGATGTAGTTGCTATCTAAACCATAGTCTATATGCCTACAGACGAGTGAAGTTAATTTATGAACAGCAAATTGATTGATTGATGCATATAGTGTTTCAAAACTATTAACCATTAATATTAATATAAAATTACATGTAAATACTCATTAAATTATGAATAGCGATTGCTATTTGATGCGGTATAGACAGATAAGCCATCCTTATTAGCTACTGATTTCGCCATCCTGTCAGCTTTCTAAAAAATCGGGTGAATTACTAAAAAATTGACTATAAGAACAATGTTTAAAGAGAAATTAATACTTTCTTTAGTCGTGCCGTATTTTCTGAATCTTCAGACCTTCTTTCTTAGTCAGGCTGTTGAAAGTTTTTGCGTTTGTGTAATAATTTTTATGTAGGAAAGACCTGATGAACCATCCCAAAGATATTATGTGCAAATAAAACCGCATGTGTAATTATATGTTCCTAAATATATGATCCCTCTTTATGCATGGCTAGAATAGATTGCTCGTCCTAAACACAATGTTTAGCTTGTTACTAGGACTTCAAATTAAATCGTTAGATCAGAAGGTGTAGAAAAATTAACAAAATAAGCGGCATTCTGAGAAAGAGGGGCAAGTTTAGGATATCTGGTTAAAGGAGAAGAAGAGAGAGTAAAAGTGGACAGGATAAAGCATTGAGCAATAGAAGGAGACTAGATAAGCATCAAGTCTAGCTAGAGCTATCACACATCTCATGACATGAATATTTCATATTAATGATAACACATATCTAAACATAAGTCACCCTTAGAGAATTGCAAGATATTTTATTAAGGTAAGGAAACAGCTGCCACTGCATCCACTTATTATGCATGAATAAACTTCCCTCATATGTAAGGATGTATAGTAAGCTTGTGGTGGCCACAAGGATATGTGCAAACAAAAGCGACTAGGGTTGTAGCTGCCACCCTTTTATTTTGGCATAATACATTGTATGCTTTATTATTTAAATTATGGCTTCTTGCTATGTAGATGTCTGTCTGGATTCTAGCAAAGCACATACTTAAGCTTATAACAGGTTTATCAGAGCATGGGACGATGAGCCTAGGATTTCTTCGCAAAATTAAATACTCTTGACTTCTTGATAATTCCTCCTAGGTCCTTAGTGGGAAAATTTCATTACGTCCTTCCAACCACTATTTCCTTTGAAATGGCAAGTCCTGAAACAATGTTGAAAATAACGTCACTGCCACCTGATCCAGCAGTAAAAAGATCAGGTGGAATTTTCAAGTCTAGCGAGGCTTTGTCCATGCCTAAATTTGTTAGGAAGTAAATTTATATCTTCTATTACAATACAATATATAATTTATATTCAAATTAAATCAGCGGTTATGAGACATAGGCGATGTCGAAACTGCAATCACTCATGGATGAAAATAACTTTAAGAAAAGCTTGGCTAATTAAAGTTTAGGGACATTGTCATGTCCAATTATATCCTTTTATAAAAATTCAATTAACAATTACTATTCACATTTTTTACCAAGAGTGAATAAAACTATTTTTGTTGCATCAGCACCTACTAATAATAAATATAATATAATTCAGTTATTATCTATTACAAAATTCTATACATCATAAGTTAAATTGCATTTATTCCATATTTTTATACTACATGAGAAAAGGTTACTGTCTGAATTGCTCTTGTTCAATTCGTCCTATTCGCCCCGCATTTTATGAGTACCTTATATGATGTCTCGTGGTATTTACGATTTTTTTAAGGATCCATTACCGAAAGTTCGCCAGAAGCAATATAAGGATGATCCAGATGAATTATATGCACTGTGTGATGATCCGTTATCTTATCCTGTCAAGCTAATAAATGAGAAACTTTGTCTATCGGATATTACTAAAGAGCACGATCTTTTTCTTGAAAACTCTGGTTTTATGGTGATTGGGGCAATTGGAACCCAAGTAAAAAATAATTTAATGACTCTTAGGGCTCTGGGAAGTCTAGCGTTCTGAACCTTCTTGCGAATCAATTGCATCCAGACGCAGGGGTGTATAATGATCCTTTTGAAGTACAAACCGAATACACCATATTAAGCTGTTGCTCACAAACGCTGGGCTTAGATCTATATATAACACAGGACAGACTTATCCTCCTTGATGCCCAGGTGAGCTTTTTATTTAGCGTTAATTGTTTGCGTTGAATAGAATGTTTTTTTCGTTTTCTCTCATTTGGCTCTTTTCAAAGCCGTTGCTTTATTGCTTAGGATGCCATTTATTATTTACTATTAGTATCCTGAATATACATAGTGCTTCTGTTCATTCTCTAGCCGTTGAGGTGATCATGCAGATAATCGA